TGAGGATCAGCCGGCCGGCAGCCGGCCGGACCTGGCGGGGAGTCCGGGCTCCGCGCCCTGCTGCACAGGCCGCCTCGTTCGCCGCGCAGCCGCCGCCGCCTGCAGCGCCGGCCTCAACTTGAAGAGAAAGAAAAGTTTGTTCAGAGGTGGCGGGGGAGGGGCAGGAGCGGAGCGCAGAGCCAGCGGCTGGCCCCCTCCCCCTCCACTCGGCCCAAGGCCCAGAGCACCCCCGCCCCCAATCTCTTCCCCACAGGGATCACGCTACCCACATTCCCACAGAACCCGGACCCTCCATGGGGTCTAACCAGCCTCCCAAACTTCACAATGATCCTGCCCCTCAACACCACCCTTTGGAGATTCAGTCCCGGAATCGAGGTATGGGTTCCCCCACAGTGCATCCTGACACTTCAGGGTCCGGTCCTCACCTTCCAGAGAATTCAGCCCCTTTTCATACTCGCAATAACCCCAACTCCCATAAAGGTCTCATTCTACCCCAAATCCTTTCTAGCAGACGCCCCCCCACACACACACAGCCCCGCAGTATTGGGTGCGAAGGATGCAGGAGGAATCTCCCCTATCCCTCTCCCCAACATCCAAGTGGGCAGGACCCCCAACTTCCGTTAAGTCCAGCCCCCTCTCAGATCTGAACCCCCAAACTCCACTGGGTCTGCCCCCCCAATAAATCCTGCAGGGAGGGGTCCCCCCTAAAGACCCCACACACACACTCCCAGACGAGGTCCTCTGCCTTCGAACACCCCACGGCCGGTCCTCGTCAACCCTCCCAGCCCGGGCAGAGAGCCCTTCCCCCCTTTCAGCGATGTTCCCTGGCACCACCACCCCCTCATACCCGCAGCCCGGGGCCTTAAGGGGTTAAGCGGTCGGAGGCAAGGAAACCCTTGGTCCTTACCTAACTACAAGAGTTCTCCCAAAGCCCCAGCTTCCTGACCCCTCTCCCCAGAGATTCAGCGCGCAAAGCCCCACCTCCGGGGCTCCTCTGGTATCCCCTTCCCCGGGGAAGCGGTCCTGGACTCTCAGCGGCCACTTAAGATGGCCATCCTCCGCTGCCGCACCCCCCCGCCGTCTTCCGCCCCGCCTGCCGCTCCGCCCTCGTGGCTCCCGGCGGAGTCGGGGGTAGGACCCGCGGCCCGCCTACCTTGGTCCCCGGTCAGTCCCGGAGCCACTGGCCCGCAGAGTGACCTCGGATAAGTTACGCCACCTCTCCGAGCCTTGGCTTCTCGCTCTGTAAAATGGGGATAATGTTACGAGAGAAGGCTGTGCTTGTAAAGCTCTCGGCACAGGGCCTGGCATCCAGCAGGCTCACCAGAGCGGCGGCTATTTTTATTATTAATTAAGGAGTAACGAAGGTGACAGCTGTGTAAACTGTAAAGCGCGGCTGCTGAACGAACGGGTATTATTAGCACCCTCCCCAGCTACTCCCTCCAAGTCAACAAACTTGCGCCTCTGTGGGCGGAACGCCGACCTGGAAGCCAGAACCCGTACACTTGGACTCCCCCGGCCCCACCTCCTCCCCTCGGGCGGTGGGCGGGAGGAGGACCTGGCCGTCAGAAAGTGGGCGGGGCCCAATGGAGGACCTGGCCCACCCCTTCCCCCAAAAAAGACCTAGCCCTTGGCGCCGTCTCCCGGGAGCAGGCTTCCTGCCCCGCCCCCTCCGCCCCCTGGCTCCTTAAAGGCGCAGGCCTCCAGCCAGGCTCCCACAGCGGCCATCTGCTAGGCCAGCGTCTGAAGTTCTCGTTTAACCTCGAATACAACTTTCAGTTTACTAAATTAAACATGTTGACAGTGTCCGGGTCGGTCCTGACGACCTCCTGCCTCTATTTCAAACATCCATAACCCAGCTGGAACAAAGCCTGGCACGTGGAGGGTGCTCACTCTGTGGGACCTTCCAGACCAGATAAATATAATGAACACCAGTTCCCCCAAACCCCACACATAACTGTCTCCAAACCTGGCCCAAAACTCAATAACTCACTCTCCACTCTGTGCCCGGCTTCCCCCATCAGCTGTATGAGAGAAAGTAAGTCTCTGGTGCAGTAGATGAGAGACTTGGAGTCTGCATACTTGGGTTGTAGTCCTAGTTCCGCCACCCAGCTGCGAACCAGAAAGGTCCCTGCACCGTTCTGGGATTAGGGCGGTGTAGTGGGAGTGTGGTGAAAAAGACTTGCGGAGTGGGGTGGGGAAGGAAGCGAAGCGAGAGACTCCGAGACCGACACAGGTTCAGCTCCTGGGGGCAGGGCAGAGACGCAGCTCCCGGCCAGGCATATACCAATCCCGACAGGGAGCAAAGGTGCCACAGGAATCCGGCTCCTGCTCCTGGGAAGCACCGAAGCTTTTCCAACCCTCCTCCTGCCGCGCCTCCTGGACACAGCAGGGCTGGACTAGATCCAGGCTCTTGAACGTTCCCTCTCCAGGAACCTCCCAGACTGCCCTGCCTAATTAGTTCTCTCCCTTTTCTGAGAGTCCAAGCCCCAACTCTGTCCCTTCAACCCGCATCACTGTCTAGTCGCTCCCGGTGAATGGTGACCTCATGCACAAAGAACTAAACCTGCCTGGTCCTGCACCATGCCGATTGTCCTATTGTCATCCATAGTGTTTTCATTGGCTAAATTTCTGAAGTAGATGGTCAGACCTTTCTTGCTAGTCCATCTTAATCTGGAAGATCTGCTGAAACCTGTCCAGCATCACAGCAACTCACAAGCCTCTACTGACACGGATGGTGGGTTGTGAGCATGAGGCTCCTGCATAGAAGGTGAGAATTCTACCCAACCACCACTGCTTCTATCTACATCAAGTTCAGCAGTGTGAATTTTTTTACACACCTGGGAGTCCAGAGAACTCTGGTGGCCTAGTGCCTAAGGCATTTGACTGCTAACCTGAAGGCTGGTGGTTCAAACCGACCAGCCACTCTGTGGAGGGAAGACTAGGCAATCTACTTCCATAAAGATTTACCACCTCGGAAAACCAAAGGGGTTGGCTGTGAGTTGGAATCAACTCCATAGCAGTGAGTTTGGTTTTGAGAGTCCAGAGCCTTCCTCCAGAATCTCATTGCCAGCTCTCCTGTTGTAGAACTGAGCACAGGGCCAGGCAGACAACCGTTGGGGGGTGGGGAAAATGCTGGGACCAATGTAAGTAATAAATCTTGTGTTTGGGTGTGGCTCTGGCTCTGGCTATCATTTGGCCTGCAAGAGCAATAGGATCCCTGGGGACTAATGTGCAGATGCTGGACTCATGTGTGATCTAGGCAACAGTTCTTTTACCTGTCACACTCCTGAGGGGAGGATTATTCTCCCTGTTTCATTGAGGAGGAAACTAAGGTTTAGATCAGTGAAGTGAATAGCAATTGGCAGAGCTGGGATTCAAACCTAGGTCTATTTGTGCTAATCCGAAGGAATCAAAAAGCTATGGAATCTGTCCCCACTCACGCATAAACTCACCACCAGAACAGTTCATCAGACACATGGATGTGTCAGTCTATTTATTAGAACTGGCTGCTAGAGGAACCCCACACCCCACCACTGGAGCAAGAACTGAAGAAAAAAAAAAAGGGGGGGGGAATTGAGAGCTATTTCCTAGGTTAGAAGAATAAAGTATCTGACTCTGGTTCATAGCAGTGTCAAGAGCTGGGAATTGGCCAAGTCTAACTGGCTTCAATCAATGGGAAGCAAAACAGTGGCATCCCCAGTGACCCCCTAATAATTCACAAGACACATGTGGGGTGTCTATTTATTTAAAATGGCTTTCTGAGGACCCTACTATGGGGCACAGACTGCGTAACTGGGAGCTCTGGGGTTGAACAGGGCTGTGATGTCTAGGTATCAGAAGGAAGGAGATCAGCTGAGCAGCCAGAGCAGGAGAACATGGCCGAGCAGGACAGGATGGGCCCAATGGGTCTCAGCCCCACTCATGGCCTTAGCATAGAATTTTGCCACCTCTTCATTGGGGTTTCCCTGGGCTGGGTCGAACCACATCTGGATGCAGCGGCCACTCCCTCGACTGTAGTTGCTGGCCTTGTAGGAGTGACTCCAAAGGTTCTCACACAGGTTAGCAGGTGTGGGGAAGTAGGACTCAAATGTGCGGCAGGTGGTCCCAACTGGACACTTGTTAACTCCTGCAAGAGGAGAGATGGTAGACACAGACTTGGAGCCCCTGGGCCCACAGCTAATTTCTGACCACCCCCAGAAATTCTCACCTGGCCCCAAATCTTCAAAACTCCCCTTTTCTGAAATCACACCTTTATCTTCCCCATCCCAGGCTCTTACCTGAGGTCCAGTCCCAACCTTTGTGCCAGTTGTCCTTGCAGGTGTAGGAGGTCCGACAGGCCTCCCACCAGCTCTGACAGTCCTCTTTGCACAGGGGCACATTCAGGAAACGCTCTTTGCGCCAGCTCTGGTCCACCTGGGTGAGGTGGAGAGGGAGAATAGACCCTGTCAGCCAGGGATCGCAACAGCCACAGCCTTGAAGAGAACCAGGTTTACTACCCTTTGACCGAGTCCTCTATGCAAGTGCCATTGTGTTATGCATGTTTATGGGGATGCCACCATACCTGTTGGATCCAGGGCCCCAAGTTGGGGGAGCATTCATAGAGACAGGTGTCCTGGATGAAGTGGCGCTTGCATTCAAACTCCATCTTGCCGCAGTGGTCCCAGTTAAAGTTATACAGGAGGGAGGTGTCCTTGTGTAGCTCCTGGCTGGTGTTCACCGAGCAGCAGGCATTCTTCCTCCAGGGAGTACACTAGGTGGGAAAGAAACAGGGCTAACTCTGTCCTCTAGCACAGCCATCTGCTACCTCCAACCTGTCCCCATTTGATTCTTGCTCCCCTGCCCGAGGTAGGTTGTCCCTGGGAACACTTACTGTGAGTACCCCTCTGTACTTGGCCTCCAGGAACTCCCATCTTGGGGGAGACACAATTGCAACAGCACAATCAGGAGCTGTGGGATCCCAGGGGAAGTCCAGTCTTGGGGGGTAACAGCTATTATTTATATGACACTTAACAAAGTTCTTTCATTTATTTTTTTAATTAAAAAAATAGTAATTGAGCACCTATTGCCAGGCAATGTTCTAGATGCTAGGAGTATAGCAGAAAACAAAATAGACAGAGACATGTCTTCAGGGAATTTATATTCTAGCTAGGGGAAACAGGCAGTAAAACACTAAACCATAAGTTATGTCAAGTCATGATAAATGATATAGAGAAAATTAAAGCAGAGAATGGGGGTTATGGGGAATTATTGACATTTTAGAAGCTCTGGTGGCCTGGTGCCTAAGGCATTTGACTGTTAACCAGAAGACTACTGGTTCAAACCCACCAGCCACTCCTTGAAAGGAAGATTGCCCAATCTACTTTTGTAGAGATACGGCCTCAGAAACCCAAGGAGGGGTCACTATGAGTCAGAAAATGACTCCACGGCAGTGCTTATTTATTTTAATCATCCAAATCGACTCCAAGGCAGTGAGTTTGGTTTTTGCTTATTGAAGTTTTAAATATGGTGGTCAGGAAAAGCCTCATTGGAAGGTGACATTTGAACAAAGACTTAAAGGAGGAAAGTGCAGTAAAGATGTTGACTAAATGTATTCTTTTGGACAAGTAGTAAGATCTGTATCCCCAGGGGTTGGCCAGTGGCAGACACACAGTGAGGGGGCAAAACAAACTTGTTGCCTTTGAGTTAATCCAGACTCATGGAGTGTTACAGAGTAGAAGTGCACTTCACAGGGTTTTCTTTCTTTTTTTTTTTTTTTTTTAATTGTGATTTGGGTGAAAATTTACAGAGCAAATTCACTTTCCATTCAGCAGTTCACATACACTTTGTCTCTGACATGACCACAAGTCACCACAATGCAACAGCTCCCTTCCCACTTCCTCCTGACAATCACCTCTTCCCTGTGTCCATCCCTCCATGCACCTCTGCCCACTGAGCTGTCTTCCTGTGCATAAACAGCCCTTCTTTCTCCCATGATTGTTCTCTCCAAGGAGTACCTACCAAATGTAAATATTCAGCTCATATGCCTGTCTTTTGTTTGGCTGGAAGCCACAGGAATGGGTTCAATTCCAGACCTGAAGGGCAGCTAGGGGCCATACTCTCAGGGGTTCTACCAGGCTCTATCAGACCAGCAAACCTGGTCCCACAGGGTTTTCTTGACTATAATCTTTACAGAAGCAGATCACCAGTTCTTTTCCAACACCACTGGGTGGACTCAACCAGCCGACCTTTAGCCAAGAGCAAACCGTTTACAACACCCAGGGTCCTCAGACACACAGAAGGCCTCAAAGATATTTGCTGAAAACGTGAATGATAAACCTATTTATGATTTCCTAAATCTAGAGCCTAACATCATCTTACATATAAACACACTGTATTTTAGCAAGTTTTTAATATAGATTGTATTTTCCAGGACTACAAATGTCATGAAACAGAAGGCTAATATTACGTGTTTTGTTTTACTGAAGTTATGCAGTATTTCAGAAAATTGTATCACCCATGGCAGTACTGCTTATTGTATCTTATAGCATTTGCCATTAGAAGACACCTGCATCAATCTTTGGAGTCCCTGGATGGTGCAAATGGTTAAGCACTTGGCTGCTAACTGAAAGGTTGTGGTTCAAATCCACTTGGGGGCACCTGGCAATCTGCTTCCAAAAGGTTACAGATATGAAAACCCTGTGGAGTTTAGTTCTACTCTATACACATGGGGAACCATGAGTCAGAATTGACTCAACAGTAGTTATTTTTGTTTTGAAATCAATCTTCATTTGTAGTTGTCCTATTCATAGTGACTTTGTGAATAAAAGCAAGCGTGTGCAATTTCACAATCCCTGGGTGGCACAGTTAAGTACTTGGCTGCTAGCCAAAATATTGGAGCTTGCGTCCACCCAGAGGTGCCTCATAAGGAAGGCCTGGCAATCTATTTCTAAAAAATCAGCCATTGGAAACCCCATAGAGCACTGTTTCACTCTGATGCAGATGGGATCTCCATGAGTTGGAATCAACTCAATAGCCAATGGTTTGGTTTCTAATGTAGTCATACTAGAGAATCTACATATTGAAATATTTTATTATAAATTAATTTCTGTTTGCATTTCCTTTGCATAACAAATAGAGTATTATGTTGATATTTTTAAATTATATGTGCAAATAGGTTCCATTAGCTCTGAATTTCATTCTAACATAGTAAAGAGTCTAAAGAATATTTGTCATGAAAAGAAGACATTGAGACTAACGGGGTTGGGATCCACCAAGATAAATGTTTCTAGAAGGTGGATAGTAGCCTGTGGTAAAGGACCCTCTCCTGCCTCTTCTAGTCTTGCTACCCTATGGGTCTGGCATGAAGTGAAGGTAGGAAGAGACTCCTCCCCCACAGTTTCTCACCTTCCAAATCCCTAGAGGAAACTTCTCCAGTACTTCCCCTATTCTACCACAAGAGCTGGTCATGTCTAATTCCTATTTCTGTCCATGTGCTTCTCTGGGCCTCAGTTTCCTCATTTGTGTGTTGTGGAGAACATCGTCGACCTACATCAAAGGGCCACTGAGAATATGAAATCATGCAGAAAACACATGGCACCTATTAGGTGTCGAACAAATGACTATCGTATTATTTCTGACATTGGGTCCTTTTCAAGGTGGGCACCAAGATCACCTTCTCCACCCTACCCCACCTTCATCCACTCAAAAGCAGTAACTCAGGGTATGGGGGTGTCTAGCCTTTCAGTTTCTCCCTTACCACCCCAACTTCCTCTTCCTGTCAGAACCAGATGCCTCCCTGGACCGGAACCACACTTACCTGATCATGCAACTTGTCCTCAGGGCCTGGCTTTGTCTTGTGGTGCTTGGCATCCATGCAGACGTTAAGCAGGTCTGTCCTGTCCCGGGCACTGTACGTAGCAGCTACCCAGGCCACAAGCAGCAAAAGTGGTGTCAATTCCCAGGCCATGTCTTTCTGTCCCTGCAGAGGGAACTGTAGTTAGAGAGACCAAAGCCTGAGGATAAAGAACCCCATGCAAGGTACCTCCTTCACTTCCTGCCTCAGGCTCCCCATCTCCACAGTGATGGATGGTGTCAGCCCTGTCTCTTCAGTGCTGGTGTCCTGATGTTCCCAGAGGCTGGAGTGGAGAAGGTTGGCAAAGGGCTAGGATTAGTGAGTGGGCCCTAGAGGAGTCTTCCCAAACTAGTGGTTGCTGTTGTATGCCATCGAGTTGATTCTGACTCATAGTAACCTTATAGCATAGAGAAGAACTGCCCCATAGGATTTCCTAGGCTGTAATCTTTATGGGAGCAGATTACCAGGTCTTTTCTCCTGAGGAGCAACTGGGAGGTCTAAACTGCCAACTTCCCAATTAGCAGCCAAGCACTTAACCATTACACCATTAGAGCCTTTGCCCTCACCTTCTCCCTGCACTTTGTGTATGAGAAGTAATTAAATAGTTCAGGTCCATCCCTGCTCCCTTAGAGTCAGGGACACACAGTGCCCTTATCTTGCCTGCATTACCTGGATTCCCATGCCAGCTTAGAAATTTTGTTAACCCTGGGGAAGGCTGTGACCCAGCTCTGCTGAGTTCTCTAGACTATTAGGAGGATCGAATGATGCAACACATATGATTGTGTTTGGTAACATGATACTGAAAGTGTGGCAAGTGGTGGTTTTTAAACAGACTTGCTTCCTCAGGGTTTTTCCTTTCCTATTCTCTGACATCCCTCCCACTCTGCCCCCACCCCGTCCTGAATGTGACCTCCTCAGCTCTTTCTGGGTGACTCACAAGCTTTCCACTCTACCCTCCAAAAAACAAACGCAGAGACCCTTGGGTCTGAGCTACAGCAGAAAAATCCCTTGTTTGGAGCAGTCAGCCAGAGGAGTACTTGGAGTTGTATGAGGCACCCAGACAAAATGACAGCCCCCTTCTCCTCTATTCATACTGCCCGTTATCACCCACCTATTACAGATCTGTCCCTTTGGACTCTGTCACTGAAGTATCTAAGAGCTGATTGTAGATTTATCTTCCACTCTCTCATCATCTCCCACATTCAGTTGGCCACCAAGCCCTGATAAGGGTCCCTCCAAAACCCTTTCTGCAACTCACTCCTTATGGCTCCGTATTTGGGTTTAGATCTTGCCGCCTCTGATTTCTCTCCCTCCAAGTCTCCTTCCCCACATAAGCCTGACTGATCTTTCTGAAGAAAGATATACCTCTCCCCTGCACACAAGCCTGCCATGTCTTCCCATTGCCCTTGTCACCTTTCCCTCCTTAGGACACTTGCCTGAACTTCCTTTGCTGTCCTGAGTATACTCACTTGTGTCTGGATTGGCCTCTCTACGGGCTAGCAACAGCTCCAGGCCCCTGGATTCCCGTCAGTGGTCTCCGCCTCAATGTAGGACAGGCTGTAAAATCTCTGGTGAGTACGGAATGTAATTTCCTTATTCAGCTTTTCTCCTTCCGTTCTTCCTTTCCAATTTTCCAGACACCGCCTTCAGTATTTCACCATCAAGTATTTCTAAAAATATAATTAAGTAATCTTGACCACTTGTTTTAAATACAGCTTTCTTGTTTGATATTTCTACCAACTGGTAGTACTATGTTTCATCAAATCTAAGTCACCATCCATTGTAAAACACACTGTTCTTTTTGAAAAATATATTTTTATTGTGATTTGGGTGAAAGTTTACAGAGCAAATTCATTTTTCACACAATGGCTCATTTTGTTTCATGACACTGACTGCAATTCCCCACAATGTAATAACTCTTTTCCCACTTCCTCCCTATAGTTACCACTTCCCTGTGTCCTTCCTTCCTACACATTCCTGGCCCCTGAGCTATCTCCCTGTGCAAATACTGCCTTTCTGTTCTCCCATGATTGATCGTTCTAAGTATATCTACCTGATGTAAATGTTCACCCTATCCACCTGTCTGTTTTTGGCTGGAAGCCATGGGAGTGAGTTCAATTCCAGACCTGAAGGATAACTAGGAACCATAGCCTCAAGGTCTCACCAAACTCCATCAAACCAGTAAACCTGGTCTTTTTTATGATTTTGAATTTTGTTCCACATTGTTCTGCCCCACTGTCTAGCATCTCTTGCCCTGATCCCTTTCTGAGTGGTTGACAGTTGTAGCCAGGCACAATCTAGTTCTTCTGGTCCCATGGTCCTATAGGCTGATGTTCACATGCTTCACTAATCCCTTGGACTAATTATTTCCATGCATCTTTGGTTTTCTTCATTCTTCTTTGTGCTGAACTAGGAGAGACCCGCTGTTGCATCTAGATGGCCACTTACAAACTTTTAAGACCTCAGATGCTACTCACCAAAGGAGGATGTAAAACAATGTTTTTATGTAGCATATTATGCCAATTGAACTTGAAGTCCCCTGTGACCATAGTCCCGAGCCCACAAGTCCAAGTATTCACTCCTTCAGGGTGGTTGGCTGTGGCTAAAAAGTTATCATATCTTTGCCCCTTGTTAGCTCTATTATATATGTGGACATTTTTACAGTACGTACAAATACATATGTAGAAATATTGTCTGCCAACCTTATACGTGATCATGGGTATATTCCCTTTTGCCTAGACATACCTGTCTTAATAGCCCTAGGAAATGAATACAATCATGAAAGCTATTGAAAGCAGAATAGAGTATCAGACTATAGGTGTCTGTCTGTGTTTCTGGGTCAAAAGAGCTTTGAAATTCCATAAATTGGAGGTAGATTTACAGCTCGGAGGTATCTGAGTGCTTGTTATGTGTCTGAGAGATCATCAAAGTATCTAGGGGGCAAAAACTGGCCAGGTGAGCAAGTAACCATTGTAAAATTATGATTACCTATATTTGTCTTGGGAGCTCTGGTAGCATAGTGCCCAAGGCATTTGACTGCTAACCGGAAGGCTGGCTGTTCAAACCCACCAGCCACTCCTCAGAAGAAAGATGGGGCAATCTACTTTCGTAGTGATACTGCCTCGGAAACCCAAGGAGGGGTCACTATGAGTCAGATCCGACTCAATGGCGGTGGGGTTTTTTTTTTTAATATTTGTTTTATACCTACAGGAAGAAATTTCCTGTTTAGCCACTGTGCAATATTCAAGATTACAGCTCCTTTATCCTCCTGGATCTCTGAAGAACAAAACTCCTGACCAACCCACAATGGACCTGGAACACATCTGAAAGCCACTAAGACTTGGGATTTGTTTTGTTGCCATGGAATGCTATCAAATTAACTATAAGTTGCCATCTAGTCAACTTGGACTCATGGTGATCCCATGTGTTTCAGAGTAAAACTGTGCTCCGTAAGATTTTCAATGGATGATCTTTTTGGAAGTGCATCACTGAGTCTTTGTTCTGAAGTGTCTTAGGTTGGCTCGAACATCCAGCCTTTTGGTTAGCAGCATAGCACCTTAATCATTTGTACCATCCATAAACTCCTGCACAGCATAACGTTGGCAACTCAGACTGAAAAAGCAAGTCATATTAAAACTTGATACATATTGGTTAAAAGTCTTAATACAGAAGGTATGTGAGTCTAAGCTAAAGTTATAAAGTAATAACAAACAATTTTAGAATCTAAGTGGCTTAAAACAATAAAGCCTTTTTGTGAGGATAACTCATATTAAATGTCAATCACAAGTAGACTGAGGGCTTGGTTCCATGTCTCCTCATACTGGAATCCAGGCTAAAGGAGCACCCACCATTTTGAATGTTGCTTAGTCACTCTGGCAGGAGAGTTCCAAGAGACTCACACTAGCAATTGAATTCTCTAGCCTATAAGTAAAGGAGCTCTGGTGGTGTAGTGCCTAAGACATTTGACTGCTAACCAGAAGGTTGGTTCAAACTCACCAGCCACTCTGTGGAACAAAGATTGGGCAATCTACTTCCATAAACATTTACCACCTCGGAAACCCAATGAGGGTTGCTGTGAGATGGCAGTGAGTGTGGTTTGTTTTTTGAGCCTGTTAGTAATTTTTGAAATTTAAAAAAAGAAAAAAAAAAATTCAGAAAATGAAAGAAAGATCTAGATAAGGCAAGTGTCACAAAACATTGATAATGCTTCACTTGATATTAGTATGTTGAGGTTCATAATACTATTCTCTTGACTTTTATGTGTTGAAATTTTTTATAAAATCACAATTTTAAAAGTACTTTGTAACCATAGAAATGTTTTTTTATGTACTCCATGGAGCATAATGTGGCTGCCACGATGGACTCAAGTATAACAAGGATCGTGGAGCTGGCGCAGGACGGGGCAGTGTTTCGTTTTGCTGTGCATAGGGTTGCTACGAGTTGGAGACGACTAGATGGCACCTAACAATAACAACAACATGGAGCACAATACTACTGTGATACACATGGGGTTACCATGAGCCAGAATTGAGCAGACAACAATTGGTTTTTCTTTTCTTTTTCTTTTAATGTATACACAAAAAGAACTAACAAATCTGTCCTGGAAGAAGTGTAGCCGGAATGCTCCTTGGATGTGAGAATGGCCAGACTTCGTCTCACCTACTTTAGTCATGTTGTCAGAAGAGACCATTCCCTAGAGAAGGATATCATGCTTGGTAAAGTGGAGGGTCAACAAACAAGAGGAAGGCCCTCAACGAGATGGACTGACACAGTGGCTGCAGTGAGGGGCTATAGCAAGGATCGTGAAGCTGGCACAGCACTGGGCAGTGTTTTGTTCTGTTGTACATGGGGTCGCTATGAGTCAGAGCCAACTCGACAGCACCTAACAACAATAACATATACAACGATGGACTCAAGCATAGCAAGGATTGTGAGGATGGTGCAGGACGAGGCAGCTTTCATTCTGTTGTACGCTGGGTCACTATGAGTCAGTGCCGATTCATCGCCACCTAACAACAACACATGTAAACATATCTGCTCTGCATATCACGCAGTCTGTTGTTGTTGTTGTTATTATGTGCCATCGAGTCGGACCCGACTCATAGCGACCCCTC